AGGAAACGTGCGCCTGTGACTTGCGCAAGCCTCGACGATGCCACCCCGGGCAATGATGCACTCAGGGGAATAGATCACGTCACCTTAGCATTGGCGGATGGGCCAAGTGTGAGCGCTGGTTCCGTCGATGTAACGGCAGGAGCCTGCACCTGACCTACAGCACGAGAGAGTCGACTCTCTTGGTCCAGCAAAAGATGGGCACTTTGGCTCCAGGCACCTATTCCCTCCCAGTTTAGAGTCCTCCCAGCGGAGTGAAATGGTTCTTGGCACCTTCCGGTCACAAGCAAACGTCGCGTAGCAGCGCAGTTGAACGAAGGCTTTGCTTGAGAAGACGTGGCCGTTTTCTTCCCCTCGCCTGCGGTCCTCGGAATTTAAAGGAGTGACATTGAGACGAGACTGAATGTAATGTGGCACATACACGCTAAGGCCGAGAGATTCTGGCACTTAACTGCAGCTCACGATCAAGTGAACCGATCCGCCGATGTGACCATAATCAGCTCTTGTTCTCGACTTGTTGGTTCAATTTAGAAGGATCAATCCCTTAATTTTCACGTCTCATTCGCGGGTCATTCCAGGAGTCTGGGCTTGGGTTACCATTTGGGGGTGCCTGACCACCCAGCCCTCATTTCCTTGTCCCCACACCCCTCCTGTCCCAATTCCACCTCTCCTTACGGTTGCAGTTGGGGAGGTGGCCCCACGAATCCCGACAAGGAAGCGGCCCGTCGCGTATGGGTGCCGCTGCGGACACGCATCTTTGACCCCGAAACCGCCCCCGAGGTTGCTCTGACGCTCGTGGTTAATTGATTAGCCGTCGCTGCAGAACCCGCGAACACAGCTGACTGACAACCTGGTGGGCATGTAGCAGCAGGTGACCTCATGATAAACGAAAACACTACATCACCGTACTAGACTGGCAGGGCGGTGCTTCTTTTGCCGGCTTTGCAGACATGTCCTCTGTGGCATGCAGACGTGAGTCAATGCATCCAGACTTGCCGGGGAGTTCTGAGGGTTTGCTCGATCCTGACACTCAAGGTTCCGCGCCCGCGAAACTCGAATTGGCAAATGGTTTCTGTTTGTGCATGCACATGCTCGGAAAGCCCAAAAGGTGTTAGGACATTTTCAGAACCGTCGTCATAAGGCCAAGTGAAGGCCCTGGAGGGCGATTTGGCCTGAATGCCTGGAAGGCCTGGAGGCTGCTTTCCGAGGTTCAGCAGACGACAACTACTATGCTTCAAGGCATGGTGGGTCAGATCTCGGACGTTAGGTTGCGGGTTGTCTTGTTTGTCCCCGCTACAATGCGTCCTTGGTCTTTCAAAGCGTTAAACCCTTTCGACTCGCATGCTTCCCTGCCCGGATAGCTGTCTCAAGACTACACCAGTCTCGTAGCTGTGACCCGAAACAGATCAAGTCTTGGGCCACATCTGCATACAACGTGGGTTTCGCGGTTTTGGGGTATTTGGGGTTTATAAGGTTTCCAAGCTTTCCCCCTCGGCTCCGAGGTACCGCAGTACTACGAAGCATTTTATGGCACCTCCAGGGACCACCTTGCACTGCAGCATAAAAGCTCTGCTGATACAGTCCAAGGCGCTGAAACTACTCATATCATTTTTCTGACAGGCTTTTGGTCCAAATGGGCTCAGCACTTGCGGCTTTGTGCGCTGTAGAGACGGCAGCAAGCTCGGAGTTTGGCAATACATCTCCGTCTCCTGAGCCCAGCATGCACAAGACAGGTTTGCACTCTTGCACACAGCCCGCCACTCATCTACTCCGTTTTACTCCGTTTCCTTTCAAGGGGCCAAACCCAGTAGATGCGTCACAGGAGGGAACTCGCCCGACGTGCAGTTCACGACACAAATCTTTCGGCTTTTGTCCTGAGACACGAAAACTCCCAGTCTGCAGTAGCGACTGCGGTATCGCTGCAGATGTCAACATGCATCCTGCCCCCTCTCACTCTGATCTGAAGCCTGTTCGTGGAAGAGCTTGGCCGCGGAAGCTAGACTGGCCTCCGCAAAGGTGACCTCCGGCCGACACAGCTATTGCAGATGCATCGGAACATGTGCAGCAGCTTCGAGCTTCTGCGCATGAGCGCCGGATGCCTTCGGCGCACGGTCGAACGACTGCACGGTCTTGTCATGAAGCGCCTGATGAACTTCCTGGTGAAACATGGGGACAGCGACTGGGGCAAGGATCTTTGCACTTAATCATGGCACGACCCGGACCCTGCACTGGCTGTTCCCGTCATTGGTTCAATGCCTCAAATGATTTATGCCTTCACATGCCCACACTTTCCTGAATCGCGTTACAGATCCTAGCCCCGTTGCTCGACTTCAGCCCCAAGTGTATTCTTGCCGGCAGAGGATCTTTGTAGTGGACCTGAGCTGCATCAACTTATTCTATATGAATTTAAGACTCCTCTGGGACAGAGGACGTGCTGGCAATTGGAATCTGCGATAATATGCTACACAGTTGCTTTGCGTGACACCGGGACGGAGATGTGATCGCTTCGCGCTAGGAGGTCCTGGTTCGCCCTCCAGATATCCTGCCCAGGACTCTGCACTTCCGGAAATCTCCAGGTCCAGGCTTTGCCTCCACGAGTTCGGAGATCATCTTGAGCTTGTGAGATTCCTACGAGTAGGGCATTGACAGACGCAGTTTTTCTCGAGTCACGTGCCATGGTCAAGCTGCAGCCCAGCTGCAGCTTTCTCCGCTCTTATGTGCTGCAGCGGGCGCTTGAACATTTGGAAGCCTGAGCACTGTGGCACGACAAGGATCAGAACTGAGTACTGGCATAATTGTCAAAGGTACGCCGGGTCTTGTTGGCAGAATCAGCCTCAGGAGGAAAGTGATAGCACCCAAACCCTGAGTGCAAAGACTAGGACTTTGCAGACCTGAATGTTTTTCTCCTGCACTGTCTCACCGTGGCCTGATGCATCTGAGGCACATTTCCACTGTTGACTCGATGAACGTGGCCTTCCTCAGGTGGCGCGGATGTGGCAAAGCTGGAGCCCGATTGTCACAAACCTTCTGTGGTCCTGGTGGTCATCCGGATCTGGCTCCAACTGTGGGAGTGGCTTGTACCAAGTTCTTTCCTGAGGCTTCGATACCTTGTAGTAGAAGTACCGGTTGACCTCGCCCATCTCGCCCCTTAGCCCTCCCCGCTGCAATTCTGTGTCGGAGGGTGGCCTGCGGTCGCCGGTCCAGCACGGCTCGCCAGCCATGAGGCAGGTCCGTTGGCTTTGGCGGAGGCTCTATTGATTCGTCCTGCTCGTGCCAGCCCTAGGACACTTTATGCACCACACACATGCGACAAGCTCGTCGAAATCTCCTCCTGAGGTGGTTGGTCCGGCAGGTCGACAGAACAGCCGGCTGGTCTGCTCCAGCTAGATCTGCCGGACACCTGCCACAATACTTGGTTTTCCCGAGCTCCCGAAACGCGATTCTTTTCAACCTCGGCCTTGTCCATGTAGTAGTACCGCTTCTTCTCCGGACTCCACTCATACTCCCACTCCGCACCGGACATTGCCATGGCCCCAGCAGCCGGAGATCTCCACGGCTTCCCAGGAGCAGCAGCACGCAGGAGCAGCGCAGGAGGTCTGTGATGCTTGAGAAATGTTTGCAGGCAGGTTTGGAGAACAGATCACGGACCGTAAATTCACCACTGTAGGCGCAGACATACTGGTGCAGCTGCCACGGCTGTGTTCTGCATGCCTAGCATCCTCAGCACGAGGCACTGCTGGGCTGCGTCCTGAACAGCAACAGAAGAACTGACAGAAACCATCCGCGACGAGACAGCCCACACACCTTCCCCGCTCCAGCTGAAGTAGAGCCGGTTCGAAAGCACCACCTGCAGCCCATTTACATCCCCTCTCCCTGTTCTAAGAGGAGCACGAACATCCTGCGGCCCGCGCGCTTGCGACTGCATGGTAATGCTGCAGCTCACGTGCCACTGGACCCTCGAGTCCTGAAGTCCATCCAAAAACAGGCACACCCAGAAAGGCATTCACAAGATTCAAGCTCTTGCACGCCTTGATTGGTCACCGCAATCAGAACCTTGGCCTGAGCACACATCTATCCGAATGATGACTTCAAGAATCGAAATTTCAAGGTGCCAACTCCGTCTTTCAACCAGGCATCTACTTCGGCCAGCCTGCTCTGGTCCTTGCAGGCTGCTTTCAGGTCCGTAGAAGCCCACACTCAGCTCAAAGTCGAACGCAGAGAGCCTGAACGTTACTCGAGATACTCGACGTTTGTTCGTCCTGCTTGAGCCTAGGCCGAGCCACATTTTCACAGGCTTCCTAGGTAACTGCGACATGTCATCCAAGATCTGTGTGGCGTACTTCCGCCTGGTCACGCGCAGTGCCGCCTGGATTCTGCGGCGACGCAACAGAAACAGTCAGCAGTCTGCGTATGGACCTATGTGTGGTCTTTGCAATACTGAGCTGGCAACTAGCAGGCACATGCCGAAGCGGGCTGGGTGCTTCCGTGTGCAAGAACCTCGACCGCAAAGGGTCGAGGCCTAGTCGAAGCCGCTGGCCGCTCTAAAATCGCTATCGATGCGCGACTCAAGGTGGGCCTGCACTTGGGGACGACTGCAATGGCCATGTCCATCCTGGAGAAAAGATTCCGCAAACATCCATCTGCTTAACAGAATAGCACTGACGAGACAGGACAACGTTATCATGCAGACAGCGACCTCTTCTCCTAGTGTGTCGCAGTTGGCACCCCTCGCCTGGATCTGGCAAGACTGACGGCACCGGAGCTCAAAGCTGACGCAGCCCCAACTGTGTGCAATCATGAGCGCAAGCACGCCATCGCGACTTCTGCAGACCCTACATTGTCCGGCATGAGCCTGGCATGTCCTGCAGCACCGCTGTCGAGTCATGAATGGAACCAGCTTAGTAGGCTCGCAGCCACAAGCCGTTTGCAGATTTTCTCGCTGGGCACCGATGCAGTGGACTTTTTTTCGGGTGGAAACGATGAATGGCAAAGCATGGCAGCAGTCATTCGGTCTTCGGCTCTGCTGCCTGACTCCAACACCCGTGCGACATCACAGGTTGACAAGAATCTTAAGGCCTTCTCCGGTGTTTGCAGTGTCCGCTCCAACGGCATCACCGTTGAGGATCGAACCTAGAGTTGCAGCTTGGATTTATGATGATGCATGTTCATGCTTCAGCGAAGGCAAGCAGCCGTCCAGACAGCACAGCTTAGACACCAACATAATTCATGGCAGCCGCGATGTTCATAAGCGCAACAGAGAACAGGACTACGTCCCAACCTCAGGATCTCATTGCCAGGCTGTTTCTCTCTCCAGCAACCAATTGGCTCGATTGGATTTGATGCGACCGAGCTCTCTGCTTCGAAAATTGTGAAGTAAGAAAGCAACGAATTGTGGCCCAACCTATATCCGGCAACAGAGTCTGAGATACCAGAAGATGACAGTGAATAAGGCCTGAACCCAAGACGCAACGGTTCCAAGAGTATTGCCATATCCGCTGATGACCTCACAGACGACGGGCCAACTGTGCCCCGTTTGCTTCAGGCACAAAGAGGTTCCAACCCCAACGTACTTTTCGGTGATGTCCAGATAATTCGCCTGGCGTTCGACGTCGAAGACGATGCGAAGCTGGATCACACCACAGGGCCTTGAACCCGCATGGGGCTAGGCCGAAAAAGGCGTTTGCAGCACTGCAGAGTGCGGTGGTGACCCACCTCAGCGAAGGTTTTGCTGTAACCAGCAACAGAAACTTACCGACCGAGTTAGCCCCCGACGGGTTGTGACCACGCAAGCGGTACACCTTCACAAGCCGTCATTCTGTAACGCCGTGGCATGGATGGCTGTTATCAGTGTCTGCTTGGGGCTTGCACAGGCAGCAAGCAAAGAGCGGCCAGCAAGAACCCAGACGCAGTGAAAAGGCGTCGCATTGACAGCAGGCTGATGCCTCTCCTGCAGGTCAGAGATGAAAACAATAGTCACGGAGAAAGCATGGGATCACGGAATTGAATGCCTCATACTTGGGCAAAACAAAACCCACCAGAAAGGTCCTCTCAACCAGCCTCACAAGCAAAGGATTCCTGGCGAAGGCGCAGATAAAACCTTGTGACAATCCTTGTGCAAGCGCTTGGTGCAGCCAGGACACACTGATTTGCATATCAGGTTTGCCACATGTGGCAGCATGAGGTGGTACTTTGCCTGAGTTCAACACAAAGCACGAAAGCAGCGGAAGCCACTGCTCCCCGTGCCTGCTCTGGTGTCAGCTTGAGGACTTCACTGTAGTAGGTCGGGCCTTCCGGACATGTTGCCGGTCAAGGCCTGACTCTCAAGATACACAGTGCAATAAGGCCGTGGCTCCAGTTGGTCAGGTAGTACCTTGCAGAGGCTCTCAGTCCGCATCGAACAATCTGAGTGCTTGTGCTACACAGCACTACTCATCATGACACGAATCGCAGCTACGTATGACGGCACGCGCCATAGTTGAATGCAATGTGGGCCTCAACAATCCAGGACTTGTCGCAGTTTTAGCTGTTGCTCTCTTCTGACTCTCAGGCTGCAGCAAAGAACACTGCCCAAAGGCTATGATGCAGTGCCACAGCCACAGGCATACCCAGAAGCCCTGGTCCTGAGCATCTCGAGTGGTTTCTGAACAGGATGTTGCACGTTTCAATTATGGACAGCACCGTCTTGATCTCTCAGCTGGCCTTGGTATATCCAGACTTTAGGAACTTTAGCACGGCTGCAGATGCAAGTCGGGGTTTGGCCTTGGCTAGACTTCTTCTCCTGCTTCGGAACATTTGCCTGGCATGCAAGCAGCACTGCAAAATTGCCCCGCACGGGGTGGCGAGGTGAAGCCAGGCAAAGCTGAAGCTACCTCCAGGAAAGCCAACTCTTTTTTGGAGATGTAGAAGCACCTCTGCAGTTCTGGTTTGAGGCAAGAACGACTCGAATCCATGCACAAATCTTGCAACAGGCTTCGTTTTTGCAAATCCGGAAGCTGCTCGTGACCTGTCCTCACAAGTGCAGCAGACCAAAGGCCTCCTCCAACACCCAGGGCCACTCGGGGACAGCACGGCTGGCAGTCTTCACAATCCACCATGTCTTTGAGCCGAACCCGATCCTCTGGCAGCAAGTCTTCTCCGGCCACTTCTTCTAGCAGCAGGCTGCCATGCCAGTCCAAACAGTGGCCGCATCGTGACGGTTCCAATGCCTGCACATACATCCAAAGCAAATCCGGGTCTACTTTGGCCATCTGCTGAAACAAGCTCCATGCCAGCGATCGCAAGCTATTGGCGGCCGAGGGGTTCGCAAACTTGATCGCCAAAGCGATCAGCTGCAACGAAATGCCTCTCACCAAAGACGAATCTCCTGCCAAAAAGACAAGCGCATCGAGCGCCGCCCATTGCATTTTCATTGTAGAAGACCACTCTTGCGAAGTCTTAGCGCACTCAGTTGTTTTGAGACTGCGCCAAATCCCAGGCCAGCACTCGCTGAGAAACCGGCGCTTGATGAAATCACCCGAGAGGCGGGCCATGTGCTTGAGAAGGACGCAAGAGTCCGCCAGCGCTGCCATCGCAACGCCATCAGAAAACGAGGATGTCATGTGCTGCCAGACGCTGTGCACATGTGGCAACAGGTCCCTCACCCGCGTTGAAAGAACCGTGAGCCCATGAATGACAGCAACATGAGCTAAATGACGAGGAACGGCATCCGGAGACTGCAAGAAATGCCTCGCCCACAAGACGATGCTGGCAGCGACACGACGTTCCCGATCATACCTCCCTTTGGCTTTCCGGCATGCTTGTGAAGGCACTTCTCGCGCGGTCGCTTCATTCTCTTCCGCGTTCTCTTCTGCATCATCATCTAGAAGCTGACCGAGGTCATGGAGGAAAAATCCATCACGGCGACGTGGTGGCTTCCATGGAAGGAGGGCTCCAGAAAAGAAAGAAGAGACCGCTGTGGCGACTTGTTTGGGCTGAGAGATATCCTCTGACCGGAATCGCGACCCTGCTGTTTCCAGTCGCTTCTCGCATATGATCAAGGCCAGACGCTGAACAGCACAGGCAAGGATGCGAAGGACCCAGAGGGACTTCTCACTCGCAGACACCATCGTCAAGAGTGCGTGAACCACATCAATCAAGAAGGGTGTCATCTCCAGACCTCAAGCGGGACACCCCTTTTCGTCCCCAGTGAGCCGCCAGACTCTGCAAGTGAGCATTTACAACCGAGGAGGCGACTGGCGTGCTGAACCACCGCAGTTAGCAACAGTGGAAGGGACTGTTGGCCACAGGTTCCGAAACGAAGCTGGAAGCTCACGTCCCCCGCCAGGTAGTCCGCATAGCTGGCCAGCAACGCCCCAACCTTTGGCTTCAAGCTACAACACAAGCTAGAACACACGTGCTAGCGTCTATACATATTCATACCGTCAGAGCTTCGTCTTCTGTCCGCGGGCATGTTACACTGCATATCTGCATTGCTTCAAACTTTTGGGAAGGATTGCGTCAGGTGGCCTTGCAATCAGATGCCTGCAGTGCTCCTTCTTCCACCAGGAGCCCGTGCAGAGTGGTCAAGGTACCTTTGTTGCGGAAGCTTGGGCTCCGCATGTCATCTGCACATCTGGCCGAAACGCAGCCGAGCGACCATGGCTTGCCGTGGAAATCACCATGGACGCGTTGGCCAGGTCCTCCAGGAGCGGCTTCAGCAGCCTCTTCACCTTCACGAAGAGAGGCCATTATTTTATTATGTTATATTATGTTATATTATAGTATAGTATATCATATTATATTATTACTATATATATATATATGTATGTCCATCTATCTCTCTATCTACATGGAGCAGCAATGCCTTCCCGGCCTGGCGGTGAACCGGTTGCCCGGACAAGGCGAGGGATCGCATAGCAGAGACCATCAAAGCATGTGCACAGAGCACTTGCAGCCTCGAGTTGCCAAGTAGAAATCTGGTCAAAAAACTCTGCAATGTTCTGAAATTCAATAAGCCGGCTGTACAAACTTATGGTCAGCTGTGTCGGCAGCAGTCTGCGCTGAGCCGGGGAGCCTGGACTCCGGGCAGTCTCCACTCAAAGCGAGCCTTCTTCCGGTGAGTCCAATGCAGAGACTCTGTATGGCCAACCATGCTGGAGGCTGCGCACAGGCTCCAGCTTCGCATGCATCGAGAAAAGCAGCCAAAGCAAACATAGCTGCAATGCGCCGTCGTTTCGAAGTATCCTTCGTGCTTGCTAGCTGGCTTTCTGTAATCGCATGTGACGGGAACAAAGGGAAGGGGTCTTCAAGCGTCTGCACTTCCACATGCCAGCCGCACTCTGCATCTTCTGCAATCAAGGCCATTATGCCTTCAATACCGGCCGCCCTGCCCAGTCTTCCTAGCACAGTCTTTATCTTCCGTGCGAGACTCACATCACCTCCGGCCAGTTTCATAGCTCGCAGTAACCAAGTGTGTACCTCTTGCTGTGTTGATGGGCCCATGAGCTCCCCTGCATCAAGCCGAGCAGAGGTTTGTCCAGCCATGCTCATATCGCCTAAATCGTACGGGAATAACTTGACCAAATGCTCTGCATTGCTTACGGCACTTCCAGGCACTGATGTCAGTGGCCTCTCGTCTCGAAGGAGATTCTGCAAGCTAGAAGCCTCAAGACTCGAAGCCTGAAACGCCGGCTCCAAGATTTGAGGCACGATGGCAGCCGGAACGGCTTGCCAAGCTATCTGCCCCATCCCTCGTTTCATCGCATCTTCGATGAACGTTAGCAAACCAGCCAAACGAGCAAGACGCTTGGGCATATGTCTGGCACCCTCTGATTTAGAAGATGCCGAAGAAAGGTCCCTGGCAAGCTTGACCAGCCACTCAACGATTCGACCTCGGACCTGCACGGACGGCTCCTCACCGAACCCGCTGGCGAGCACTTCAAGCATAAATGCAGCAGCTGCCTCCCGCGCAGCTTGCGACTCATCCGACAAGCCGGCCAGAACGACTTCAAAGCAGGCTTCCACAGCTTCGCCGGTGACACTTCTACGGCAATTCTTCAAAATCGCGGTACATAAATCCAGAAATGCAAGTCTAACAGTTGGCTTCTCAGACCACAAAGTTTCTGCGGCAACTTCTGCCTGTCGCAGAACAGTAACCAAGGCCTCTGAAGTTTGGAGACTGGTCTCCTCCAACCATGCCGAGTTTCGATTCAGCTGCGGCAGCACAGTCTTGCTTCGCGTTCGGGGCGGGAGCTTGATCTCCCTTACAGACGCAATGTGCGCTTCACCATCGGGCTTGTTGTGCTGGCGAAACAACTCGGTGAGGGTTAAGGGCGTCTGCTTGTGTGCCGCTGCAACCAGCTCGGATGTAGGTGAGGTTCCCAGAACAGCACATGTCCATTCTCCTAAACATCTGCAGGCGAGAATCACAATCTTGAAACCTACCTTGAACTCCTTGCCTGCTTGGAGCAACAGTTTTACAAGAGCTGTGCAAACCCCCGGGTAGAAGTTGGCAAGCACATCTGCTGCAGCATCTGCCTCTGCCATTGCTTGCAAAACCAACACACTTGAGATTACCTGGTCGCGAGACGGTCGGCCCTTCGAAGAGATACCTCTGCTGAGCAGTTGAATGGCCAAGTGAGCCAGATATCCAAGCTGTACATGAGGCAGCTCGCTGTTGCCGCTTGAAACGTACCAGCCGGCGATCAGAACCCGAGATGCCTTCAGGATTTGCAAGACCATCTCTTCTGTCTGGGCGGTCCTTACGGAATCTTCCCTGAGCAGATCCTCTAGCAAAGCCAAGAGTCGTTCGCAAACCAAGGGAAAAACACGCTGCTTTCTCTCCAAGAGGTCGCCGTTTTCGCTCTCCAGTAAAATCAACAGCAGTTTGAGGGTGTCCTCCAGCAAGCCAGAGCACCGAGAAGGACGCTCGGAAAGCCTCGCAAGGACAGGAGCCAGCACCTGGTCGAACTGAGACGGTGAGGACAGAAGCGGTGGTGTCAAGGTCAACAGCGCTTTACAGGCATCTCTGGCCACACCCGGATCTGGATCACACATCTGTATGCATGCGCTGGCCATGGCTCTCTCCATGCAACTACACTAGCAGACTAGCATCTAGGCCAAACAATGCCAAACAAATGCTCTTCTCCCCAGGATCCATCAGCAATGCCTATGCCGCAACTATGACCCACTCAGAAGGCTGCAGCGATGCCGTTTCACACAGACATACTCTTGTCAGCTCAGCTTCCAGTGCCTACCTGGCCGGCTCTTCTGCAGCAAGAACCTGCGCAACTCCAACAAAGCCATCAACAGACAGAAGCTGAAAGGACTTATGCAGAAAGTTCGCTAGCTCGTGTCTTCACCCCTTTAGTGACTGTAGTACACGCCTGCTCACACACGCCAATGCGTCAACACCCTGGCTCTGTGTCTGCACCCATTCGGTATCCAGCATGCAACAAACCCGCATTGTGCACGCGACGCCAAGAGCGCCCATAGCTGAGGTCTAGTTTGAAGCTTGGAGGTGCGAACTAAGCTGCACCATGTGGTTGTTCTTTATGATCAACACTTTCCGTGGCTGCTCTTGGTCGAAAGTTGTTGTATGCGGTGCAGAAATCGTAATTCAGAGACCATGTATGCGAGAGCCACTCTGGCACTGAGACATGGAGCCTTTCTCCAGCCGAGTTCAACCCGATGGATGTATCGCTTCGGGATGTCTGGGATCTTCCAATGCCCACGCCCGAAGCGGTCGCTTTGAATTTCATCATCGCAAAACTGCAAAAACCGACCTTTGCAACTATGTAGATAGACCATGATTTTCCAGACCACCACCAACATGACTTGGCTCACTTGGCTCTGACTGCTCTGTGTGTCAATGTCGTCAATGCTAGCAAGAAAAGCTCGAGTGCCTCGCCTGCCAAAGTCCGACAAATCCCAGGCCTCGGCTTAGTGCGGTAGGGAAGCACAGAATGAGTCAGGCTTGCACCCAGGATCCAAAAGCCGTGCATTAGCTGCGCTCAGTGCGAGGCTAGCAGCCCCAATGCCTTGGTACCTGGTAGGCAGATGTCAGCGATCAGCACATCTGCCTCTTTGCTTGGGAGTCCAAGGCTGCAGCGCAAGGCGCCATCCAAACGCAGCTGCCAAACTATTTGCCTCAGCTCAAGCTGATGTGAAGATGGCCTCAAACAGCAGTCCCGATGTAAAAGCCAGACAAAAGGATTTCTTTTGGAGCAGTGGAATCGAACCACCAACGGAGTGCACAAGGGACCAATTACGCATTGCGTCTGATATGGCTACGACTCGGACTGTCGAAGCTGTTGGCCGACATGTGAGAAACCGCATCAGAGCGCATGAAGCCGCGAGGTATCACCGAACATCAACTCATCCATCCACCCCTGCATCCACCCACTCATCCATCCATCCATCCATCCATACGTCCTTCCATCAATCCTGCCATCCGTCTGTCCGTCCGTGCGTCCATCCGCTCATCAATTCATCCATCCACCCACTCATCTACCCTGCCAATCCACGATACACCATCCATCCATCCCTCCATCTGTTCATCCATTAATGCATCCATTCTTCTATGCATCCATCCGCACATCCGTCCATCCATCCATCCATCCATCCAGCCAGCCAGCCATGCATCCATCTGTCCCTCATTCATCCATCCACCCATCCATCCTACTCACCCATGCATCAGTCCATCTGTGCATCCAGACATCCGTCCATCCATCCATTCATCCATCCATCCGTCCGTCCACGTATCCATCCAGCTGTCCACCCACCCATCCTTATCACCCTCCATCCATTCAGTCATTCGGGTACACCTCCGTCCATCAAACTCTCAAACAAAATTTGCTCCCTTTTACTGGCCAGATCAGGACCGCGACCGAATGCTTGCATACCGCGCCCACCAAAAGGATTGTCATTTCGATGCAAAAACAGGCCAATATGTTGCCTGAATCGCGTTTACACCGGACACGGCAACACCGAGAGCGCCTTCAATTCCGGCCATGAGTCCACTTCACCCTACCACACCGGGACTTGGCACAACCAAAACACTTGTTTCGCCCGTTTCAGAAACGTGTCCAACTCTTTTCCAAGATACTGGTGGGGTTAATCATTTAGAGGCGCAAGTCGGTGCGACCGAGAGACCAAGCGTGCCGGAGGACGCGAACTCGCCGGTATCACCCATGAGGTAGTTGAAATTTCGCAGCCAACGAGGCCAATGTATCGGAATTGTCAATGGATCGTGCTTACTACAAAGGCGGACACACCGGCAACACCGCGAGGACAAGAATCGAAACAACACATGCACAGCGCAATTTTGAGATGCGCAGCCACTCCCTGCGCTGCGCGATGAAGGTATTATTGCAATTGGATAGGGCCAACCTCTCGAACACCTCACATCATGTCACACCATGCCATGCAACCTCAACATCATCACGCCATACCAGCCCAAACACCTCCATGGAGGAAACCCTCGCCACACCTTCGGGAAAAAGCCTTGCCACTCTGTTCCTTCATCTTCATAAGGATCAGATAAGGGTTGAAGGTCTATCTGAGGAAGCACAGTCCTCTACACCCCCGGAGCGGGGCCCTGAGGTTCCTTATGAAGTCCACGGCTACGAGTTCATCCTCCTTCTACTACTAGTAGATGACTTCATCGCTAGCCGGCTTAAGTCGCTGTTGCTTCTTGGCCAAGGTTGCACATGTCACAGAACACTTCTTGCGTGCTGCCACTGTGCTGCTGCAATTCTGCCGTACAGTACTACCTCTGACAGAAAACCTCGGGTGCCAGCCACAGGAATAACAAGCAACGCTCCTGTCACAACATGTCGCAACATGTCACAAAAGTTGCGTTCTGTTCAAAGAGCGCAAGGCTTGTGGCGCCGCTTCTATTCTCGGCAGGCAACTCGCGATCAAGTCGCCGATCTGCTCATGCAAGAGAGCCGTGCTTTGGACTCTGACAGCAGCTCGTTTGGCGGCCGTGCTTACTATACACAGAGGCGATGAACACCCCATGTTCACTCAAGAAGCTCGGGGTCAACAGTCAATTCTTGCTTCAACTTGGCAAACACGGCGGACTCAGCGCCTATCGCGTTCACGTCGTATCGCGCATTATGGGCATCAGTTGCAACCTGTTCTCGGAGATGCCTGGCTCTGTACACTGCAGGCTTGCAGGGCGCCGGGGGAAGAACAGCCTTGCGATTCGTTAGCGTCTTGCGAACATCAGGAAAAGGAACCAGCGGCGGAGGCTCAGATAAGGGGGCCAATCGATCGCTGGGGCCCATGTAGCGGCGGGCAAAGCCAATGAATGCTTCGGCTTCGTCCATGGGCGCCTCATCTGCCACCTTGATGTTCAAGACTTCGTAAATAGAAGCAGCTATTGGAGGCGGAGCCGAACGGACGTAGCGCAAAGCCCTGTAGTGTCGAGTCGTTGCCTCCAGACTCTCCAAGAACTGATATAAGCTAGTCAGGCAATACTCCAGGAGGCCGTGCAATCGAAGAACGCCTTGGAAAAGCAGCTCACACCTTCTCTCCACAATATCAGCACGGAGATGAAGACCTTCACTCCATATCGCCAGAAACGTCCAGTCCTTCGTTGCGAGATCAGGCGAGTGCGTGAAGTGCAAAAGCAAAAACCCCGAGCTGGACGACTCGCTCTGTCCTTGTCATCGATGTCATCGAGCCTCAGACAGCCGCTCCTTCCTTCTTACACTTACACCCCCGCTGGGAACTTGTCTGATTTGCCGTGTCTCTTTTGAGGCAGGGATCATGCTCACCAAACCCTTGACCAAGAAGTCAAAGGTTATGAAGCCTTTGCCATCCTTGTCAAAGAGGCGCATCAAGCCTGGCACTGTCAAACTTCAATCCCTTTGCCGACTCACAGCCTCATGCGACAATCATGACAGAGTTGCTCTCGGCATCAAGGACGGGAACCTCCAGGTCTAGCAGCGTCTGGCGGAACTCCTGCTTCGCGAGCAGACTTGTCTTCAACCTGTTGTCCCTTCAGGCTTCAAGGGTGTCCCACTACCGGAGATCCCACCTGCCAGCGTAGACATGTGTTTGTTCGGTGTCATTGGTTCGGCTCCGCCAGTTGATGCTACAACGTGGGCTCCGGGCTGGACCGGAAAGAAGTAAAGAAAGCCCAGGTTTGAATCGGCTCCACATCTCTCTTTCTATCTCTGCGTCTGTCTTGCATCTGGTCCCCATGGATGACACCCGGAAAACATGCAACAGCCCACTTCCTGCCCTCGAGATCAGGTGCCTCGTTTTTCAAAGCAACCTCTACCTCGTGCTGTGCCATCTGACCATCTCCATCCTGAGGGTCTCAGCACGAGGCTTCGGGAGGCTTCCGAGAGGGTTGTCGGCTTGTTAGAATGGACTCCCGGACCGCCTCGTCCATGAGCCGTAGCAATGTGCGTGCTTTCAATCCCATCTGCTGCCGGTTTTCGCGCTCCACCTGGAAAATCTAGGTCTGTGAGGCCCAAGTTTTTCAAGCATAGCGGGCACTGCTTGTCTGAGCCTCGCGAGACGATGTCTCTAGGATCCGGGAGGTCTCGAGAGCATCCTGCCGACTCCATTTGGCAAGCTTAGCAAGACAATCGCAGCATCTGTCCTGCACAATGTTGGCGACGACCTTCCGTCTTTGCAGGAAGACTGTGGCCGCACGACCGTGACTCAAAACAACCTCTTGCAGCCGCAGCTGCCGACGACAGTAGACCGAACGTCGTAATCAGAAGAAAGAACCCAAGAAATCCAGCTATGGCCGGATACCTCAGCTTTCATACAGCTGTCGTCGGAACACCCACAGTACACACAGCGCAAGCCAATTTTGCCATGTTGCCGAAAGACAACTGGCCTTGCTACGTGGTTTGCCCACTGTGAATTGGTGATGACCTTCCACACTTCAGTGAGTCAATCAAGGAAACATGAGTCTGAGCTGGAGAAGTTCCAAAAGAAGCGAGAGGACCTGCATCAAGGTAAGGAAGCTCCGCGTAACAGATCCGAAATACTGGCGGTTGTCGAAAGCCTCAAAGGCCTCGTACTCCTGGCGTTGCACAGCAGATTTACTTGCTTTGGTGGAGGGCCGGGGGAAGTCCTGCCAAGGATCGAAGGTGTCATTCCAAACGGCTGACTCACCTATCACATAGTGCCTGGCAATGGGCTCGTGTTGTCTGGTGCGGGACCATCCATGCACGTAAAACGCAGAGGTGAATTGAGGCGAGCAAGACGCGACATGGAACACGACGAAGATGAAGATGCGAAGGATTACGAGATGACGTTCTTGCACCAAGCATGCCAGTCACGAGGAACTGCATACAAAACGCGATGACCTCATCATACATCATCCGCGATCAGAACCCCCAAGAAGAACCGTGGTGAAAGAAGGTGCCGCCCCTTCAGCTGCCCACGACAAGGCCTGGCGCCGCAGGTACATTTGCCTCTCGTTGAGGGCCCCCGCCCTGCCCTCCCGGTTCGTTGCACGACATGAGGTCGAGAGTAACCCCATGCATGCATGTCCAAGGATGGTGGACACACATGCGGCACAAGCAAAGACTAACACACCCCCACGCATCCACACACAGACACACACACACAAAAAAAAAACATAAACACACACTTACTTATACTTTGGCTTGGCGCGAACAACTTTGGTGAGCGACAGACAAGACAAAACGATTGAAAACAGATGAGCAGGACATGAAATGTCGACAGATTTTGGTGCGTAAGCATGCCAAACACCAAGAGTGGCATGCAAAAACTTATGATCCGTTGTGCGGTGAGCGACAGACAGGACAGAACGATGAAAACAGTGACCAGGACATGAGATGACGACAGATTTTGGTGCGTAAGCATGCCAGACACCAGGAGAGGCATGCAATACTTATGATCCGTTGTGCGGTGAACGATAAACAGGACAAACCGATGAGAAAACTGAGGAGCAGGATATGAGAATTCGACAGATCTTGGTGCTTAAGCATGCCAGACACCAGATGCAAAAACTGATGATCCGTTGTGCGGTGAGCGACAGGCAGGACAAAACGATGGAAAAACCCGAGGAACAGGACATGAGATGACAACAAATTTTGGTGCGTAAGCATGCCTGAACATTCATCAGCACCGCGGCGTGCGCCTCCTTTTCTGCATCTGCAATTCCACACAAATTGCTCTTGTTGCACAGCTTCCAGAAGCAGGTCAGGATCCTAAGACCCTAGTACTGTTCTTTCGGGAGGGCTAAGGGGCCGACAGAGTCTACTACGACACTGGCTGCGTGAAGGACTTGGAGTGGGGTGCACCTGCCGGACCTTGGCTGGGAGACGCGCTGTCTCTGTCACGAGGTTCGCCTCCGGCGTCGCCTCTTGTCAAGCCGACTCATCTAAATGAGTTAACTGTTGCATTTTACCCGTGTTGGCTGGACGGATGGCCTGCTAAACGTTTACACTGTTTACACATCCCAGTTCCTGCACATGATGGGTGAAGTCTTCAGATGCAGCCATCGGCCGCGCCATTGAAGGCAAAGAGGATCTTCGTTCCGTAAGTTCCATAAGCCAAAGAAGTACGTGGCACCGCCCGCTCGCAGCAGCGAGTTCGGCACACAGAGGTCACTCTGCCCCACTGCGGCCTGCAAGACCTGGCGCATGTGAACTCGGAACAGATTGGCTGAGCAAGGCCAAAGCCAAAACTTCTCGCCGGCGCACGGCTCTTCCAACCGCACGCTCTGGCGCCGAGCGTCTCGAGTTCGTGTTTTCACCAGCTCCAGCCCCAGGAAGATCACTTGTTTGCTGTGAGAATGCAATCCTCGGCTCGTAGCCCAAGTTTTCGCAAGGCCTCAACCTAGCGAAGCAGCCGAGCAAAAGCATCAAGGCGAAATGCATCCACTGCCAAGACAGAGCGGTCGTGACATTGCCTTGAGAAGCGGTACTGGCACAGGAGGGCTCACCTCGGCAGGATTTAGAAGTTCCCACGCCGTCAGCAATCCCCGGGGCCCAGCCATAAAGGAGGAAAAGGTACATCAAGTTCATGACCGCCCATATTCTTTCAGATGCAGTGTAAATTGGATGGGACCTGTGCTGGCTAGTGTCTCCAACGGCGTCTCGGACAACCCTTCGGCCCGTCACCACAAACTTCTCCGGAAACTGGTTTCTTATCTGAGCTGTGGCCGGCGTCACGCGGCCTCGATCCAAATTCGCTCTGTCCCGCGGCTTCGTCGAGGGCCGAGGCCCAAGCACGCACTGAAGTGTAGCCACCCACAACAGCAAAGCGAGCCAGTTGCAACTTTTGGCGAACAGCGACTGGTGTGCGGAATTGGGGTCATCAGGGCGACCCTCTGGATGCCCTACATTGTACACTGCTTCAAAAAATGAGAACAGGGGCCGTCTGAACTTAAATGCAAAAGCCCATAGCCATAACCCCACTAACTTGTGAAGCTGTCGCTCGTGATGATTCCTTCCGCAGCCGCTTGCAAGACGAGTTCGATCAATGGCGGGCGAGCCAGGCTCGGTCCCCTTCGAATTGAGCCACCGAGGCCCGCCGCACCTTCTTCTTCGGATGAATCCGAAGCCCTGTGGCATCATGTGCGGCTTGGGCCACGGCAGATGCCTCAAGATCGCGGCCCGAGGAGCTGAGCACATCACCCCTCGCAGATACATCACAAGGCGTCTCAGCAGGAAGCACGTGATCAAAAATTTGAATACCTACCCTGTCGTCAATGCACACTCCGCTGTAGTGCCCTTTGCGGTGCTCGGGGGAGCGTCTGTCCGAGCTGCGACCCCTTCATGAGACTGGCTTGTCCTAAGCGGGGGCCCACTGATCACCAATCGACGAACCTGTAAAGCATGCTCGGAGCTTCATCCCGGGATGTGGGATGCCTACGCTGAAGTTCTATAAGAGCCTCGGAGCCCTGAAAATCTTGGGCGCACCACAACGGACCTACGACAGTGCTCAGCGCTCTTTCCAAAGGCACCGACAACTCATGGTAAAAGTTTCGCAGGTCATCCATACAGCCCCGCAGGCAACCCTTTACCAGAACCACCAACCCAGGAAAGAGCTTGGATGTCCCATCTTAGCAACATCCGCGGGAGGGCCCTCTAGGAGGGGCAGCACGCCAGCCTTACGAATGCCCAACATGCGCAACACGCTCCGGCAAGCCGTCCAAGCGGCCCAAGCACGAAGCCTCCAACTCGGTCTGAGAAGAAAAGCTCAGCAACCACGAAATCTCGCTCCTTCTTAAGTAGTTTGTCACCGGTGCTCCGCCGAGTCGCGAACCACAGTTGCTCAGCATACTGAACCACTGCCCAACACGTGTTTTGCAACCCCGTGGGTGGGTGGCCTTCTGGCTCCAGTGCTTGAGCCATGCAACCCTGCATTCTGGCCTGGGCCGACAGTCCACTACGTGAAGACAGCCGAACCTTGGATGACGAACCCTGCACACCTAATGGCGATGGTAAGCAGCTATCCTAACCCGAGGAATCAACACCCCAAGCAGGAGAGCGGTCTCAGCGAACGAAGTGCGAGGACACCCCTGAGTGAGGGTCACGAAGTTGCTAAAGAGCGCCTGCAACCACATCACCTGGAGGAAAAAAGCTTCCACGTTCGATTCCATTAAGCATGCAAGACTCGGCACACACCAGGAATGGCATGCAAAAACTGATGACCCTCTGTGTGGCGAGCGACAGACGGGACAAAACGATGAAACAACAGAGGAGCTGGACATGTGTCATGAGATGACGACAGATTTTGGTGCGTAAGCATGCCAAAGCATGCCAGACACTAGGCCTGGCGTGTTCGGGCAGGATTCTGCTCCGGTGTGCCAAACACATGACAAGGGCACACCAAATGAGATGAAAGGAGTAATTAAAGTGCATCGCCCAGCTGCCCTCGCTGGGACCCAGGGCGGATGCGTGCAGGTACGTTTTTGCTGGAGTGCAGAGGGGAGCTTCTTCGTTGGACAGAGCCCCTCCACACTCCCTCTGTCCCC